CTGCCGCTTATCACTCGACTGTGGGTTAGGCTCTTGCTATTTGCAGCCATAGCACACACACACACACACACACACACACACATCACGTTTGCGTCTATTTGTCAAACATAAACAATCAGTTTTGAGTCGAGATGCGTCAAACCCGGAGCACTCGCTCACCCGCCGTGTGCTGGGCGTGAAAGTGTCGCTGATTAGATTAGAGATATTTTTTGCAGTTCTTGTTGCAACCGGTCTCTGCGCGAGTTTTCGTGGGCTATCTTCAAAAGTAAGCTGACATGCCCGAAATAGAGCTACAAAAAGAAACTATTAAATTGTTTAAGCACCTCTGACAGGGTAAAAAGCTTTTTAGATTTTTCTGATATTTGGATATAAATTCATTTTGTTGTTCTTTTGTGAGGATTCGCGCGAGCGCATTTAATTTAAGCCGTCGGGAACATAAAAGCAACTCGTCTAACTAAGCCGATTTAAAAGCACATTTGAATTCAAATGCCGTAAAATGAAATAAAAACTGAGAACTGAAAACTAAAAACCATCGAAATTCCCACCGATGTCGAGCCAAAATGGCACAAAAACTGTCTGCAAAGTTTGCGCTTAAAGTTTCAGTTTCAGCATTCAGTTTTTGTCGGGCAATGCGAAAAATTATAATCCCTTAAATGGCAATCGGGTAGGCTCAGCCATACCCCATTAGTGTCTAGTTGAGCAAATGTTGTCTGCGCCTGGAGCGGGGGTATTATAAACAGTTTTCTAATTATCTTCTATAGCCTGTCTCAATGGACAATGTGAGGACAATTTCGACTCTGGCTCGGCAATTAAATGAAATTGGCTAGATTCAAACTGACGTGGCTAGATCCATCATGACATCATATGAACTGTCCTCTAATGGAATTGGGGGATAGACTTTTTCCTCACTTAATACAGTTGGTAGCTTAAACTGCCATCAACTCATGAGAATGTGACAGGGTATGCCTGGGACGATTATGTCCTGCGCTGCATTGCGATGCGGTGGGTAATGACAGATGGAGTAACGGTAGCTGGAAGCCGCACCAATTAAGCCTGGCCAGACTTGCAGCAGACGCAAGTTCAAGGCACAAACGTCGACAGCTGCCCATAAATCACTCACTCAGCTGGCCAGCTGACCGGCTGGGAGACATCCTTGTGCGTCCTTAGGCGCTCCTTTTGCTCCGTTTGCTGCTTGCCTCAGTATTTGTCATGCATTTGCACTATTTCCCATTCATTTATTACTCCTTATGGCTTTTGCTTTTTCAATGCGTTTTTGATTAAAGACACTTCTCTATATATTTTAATTCTTTTGTTTTGATCAGCTTCTTGTTGCCGTTTGCCAAAGCGGAAGCTGCAATCGCCATTTTCCATTTTCCATTTTCTCCACTTGATATTTTATTTGTTTTTGGTTCGTTATTTTGTTTTTTTTTGCTTTCTGTGGTCCTGGCGTGTGCCATTATTGTTTCCTTTGATTTATACTCGGTTTCAAGTGATTTCCGCTAGCATTCAACACTTTATGTTTGCTTTTCGGCTTTGGCCAGCGACATTTTAACCGAAACTCTTAAGTGCGAGCATTTGTCATTTGACTTTTTGCCGGGGTCTTTTTATTGCTGCTGCTGGTGCTGCTGCTGGTGCTGCTGCTGGTGCTGAAGCTGTTGGTGCCGTGGCCTCGGTTACGTTTACGGTTGCGGTTACGGATATTTGTGTTGCTTTTGGCTTTGGCTTTGGCTTTGGCTATGAGTCTGCCTCTGATTTGGGGCGCTTAATCGTTGGCGTCGTCTGCGGTTCGCTCTTTGGTTTTTTTCAGCATTTTTTTTTTCCTGTTTGCTGTATGCAGATTCGTAAATGCTTTCGCCCATGCAGCTCATAAATTCTTTGTAACTTTTATTTTTCCTTACCCCCTCGCGAGGCGTGGCGGCGGAGTTTAGGGTTTCTGCGCGTAATTGAAAACAGCAGGGTGACTACTGTGGCTTACTGGGCAGTAGCATCGCTTGAAGCTCACTGAATTTATGGCAGTTCAATGTGCAGCTACATGCCGAAAATACCAAATATAAGCATCGCCTGGTAGCGAGCTATTGATTAAAGCCAACGGATGGCAGGCTGGCTGGCTGTTTGGCTGGGCTGGTGGCTTACCCAAACCGCCGCCTGGGGCTACAGTCAATGCCTTGTAATCTGTCAAAATTAGCAGCCTTCTGCGGCAAACGGAAGTGCGGACAAAAACTCCAAAAACTTAAACAGGTTATTTAATGCTACACTTTGGCTTTTGGCTCAGCCGAGAGGGCTGTGCTTGATATGCCCGAGTTCATTGTCCTCCGTGGGCTTGCGGGCGTGGCTCTTGACTTTGAATTCACTTGGCTGCAATTTGTAGTCTCAGTTTGATATAGTACAGCACACTTTTTGTATACTCTGCCTTAATAAATGTGATTTTCATAAACATAATGAGTCATCAGTTTATTATTTGCTTAACTCTGGAGCTCTCTAGACAAAAAGATAACTGGATTTAATAAATATTTAAACTTATTCCTTACAAAGTAATGATAAACATATTTATTAATATCTTAGGGTAACTCGCAGTCACACAAAACTAACTTGATTTATATGGTTTCACTTGGACTCGCTGCTGACGCTAATTTGAGGCAAATAAAGCAACGACAAATGAATTTGTGCATGGAAAGCGCACAAAGATTGAAGTAATTCTCTGTGTGTGTGTGTGTGAATATCATGAGCTCCGCATATCATATCATAATCAACGGCTTGACAGACGAGTCTGGGTATGGGCACTGGCGCTGTATGAAATTGAAAGTTTCGCCGCTCACCATGTTGGACTTTCACATGGCGCAGACAAATTATGCCGTCGAGACGGTGCCGTTGACATTATCTGCGAATTGGATGTCTGTCAGGGGCTGAAGGCTGCTCCGCTGAGTTGTAATTGATCATGGGAGCGCATGAGTTAAATATTTGTGCAAGAGACACATAGAAATCGAAACCAATGTCCATTTAGTGCGGAATATCACATCAAATCTCTCTCTAAGCTGCGCAAATAAACACCGGATGGACGGAAAACAAATGAAACGCAATTCGTAGTATTAAGCGATCAATAATCATTGTAAATACGCCAATGTGACGCCGGGGGGGCGATAAGCCAGAAATATTAACGCATAAGCAGCAGAGAAACAGTCAAAGGGGCCAGGCCTGCGCCTGAGCCTGGGCCCGGGCCCGGGCCTGGATGTGGCTGTAGCTGTGGATGTGGATGTGGACATGGGCCTGGCATCGTATCTGTTGCTTGTGCCTGGCGCGTCGTAGATAAACAATAGAAAACCATAGAGAACGGGTCAGCATTGAGAGCTAAACGCTTGCGGCTGCCTTGCTTTTTGGCTTACCTCAGACTCCAACTCCGGCTCCAACTACAGTCCCTACTCCAGCTCTGGCTTTGGCTGGGCAACGATAAGCGTGCGCATTGAATGCAAAGAGACCAAAAATCGATCGGCTGGACACTCAATGATGATGATGATGAGCATAGCAAATACAAATTATGGTTGAAAAGCGCAACGTAAATACTGCAATCATTTTAATAGACCAAAAACGGCGGCGCATAAACCATAAACCAAACGCCAGGCTCCCCCTCGATGCGAGTGCTATGAGAAATTGAAGGCGTTCATGCGAAGTCTGCGGCTAGAGAGTCCAAAAGAAAAAAAAATTGAAACAGAAAAGAAAAGAAAGAATTGTGGTCCGAGCTGGTAGAGCTGGTAGATGCGATGGAAGCTGCATTCACAACATTGGCAACGGCACGCGAACAGCGAAAATTGCAGTCGATGATGCGGTTTTATTACACAAGTTTAGCTCTGAAATTAGCGTAGATAAATTTCTAGCTGAAATTCCTTTCCCTCACTGAGTGTATGTGTGTGTGTGCTAGACGATGACCAATGCTCGATAGTGGGCCGGTGGAAACGGCACGCAAAGTTTCCAGACTATTTTAAGCCATTTGGGCATTCCAAGGCGTTTCGGGCCTTTGTGGCGTCTTCTGATCCGCAATCAAAGCAAATTATATTGAAAATTCTCTAATTCTGTTTGCAGCTACTCAAATCACTAGGCATCAACTGTGCTTAGGAATTTTTCGATTCTTACAGATCAGCCCCTCCCTCGGGCTATTTCCCGCACACCCCCTGAAACACCCAGACAGACAGACATATAGCAGCACACTTAAGACAATTAGGGATCTTTGGGCATCAGTTACTTAGCAATGTCTATGATATAAAACATATGCTATTGCTGCCGTACGCATCCGAATTCCCCTCGCCCACGCCTCCGCTCTCTGGCCAAGGCAATTGCTGCTGCTGTTTCTTCTGCTCTTGGTGGTGTCTTTTTCATGTGGATGGCTATGCAATGTGTTTATTTTTATGGTCGTTGCCATCGCCGGCTCTGTCATGGCCTCTCTTTCTCTCTCAGTGGCGGTGACGCTCTTCGCGCATGCGCATGCGCTCTCAAAGTCTACACACTTTTGCCGTTTGTTGTGCTCGACATGTTCGTAACATGTGCATTTTGCATTTTAGAAGTTGCTGAGAGCAAATAAATGTCTGAAAAGTAGATAAATATTAAAATGGAGTTTATTTAATAAGTATTACAAAAAGTAATTCTCTGCGCATATATTCTTAAGTAAATCATGCAAAATTGCAAAAAATTGTGCATACATATTTTCAAATGTTTTTTTAATATTACAAAAAATATTTAGGTTTGAAATTGATTTAATCACCTAAAAGTTTATTCGTAAAAGATATCCAGATAAACTGGAGACCGGCTTTTGGCTGCACGTGTTACTTGCTTTCGTTCGTTTTGCCTCTTATTCGCTCTCCACGCTCTCAATGAACAGCCGGCACTGTGAAACTCTACAAAGCTGGCGCCAAAAACTCACCGCCAATACCATCCACAGTCCACAGACACGTTCCACACAGAGCTGACTGCTGCAGCTCCAAGCGCCCGGCCCAAGCAGTTGCTGTTGAAACGTCGTGCCGAACGCAAGGTTGAAGCGCATCTAACGGTTGGCTCATTCGGGAAGCAATCGCACGACTCTTTCGTTCGTATCGAATTCGGTTTCGGTGTCTGATTCGTTTTCGGTTTCGGTTTCGTTTTCGGTGTGGTTCGATCGCTTGGCTGCAATTGAAGCGCTTTTCTCGGCAATTGCATTCGGCTTTGTCGCTTTGATTGATGAACTCAGCTGAAATAAGCCCAGTTGTCGACTCGGACTCGGTCAGTGCAGTCGACGTCGTCCAAGCGCGTACTCTGTCCACTTGATGGTCGGTCAGTCAGAGGCTCTGCTCATTAAACGTTGACAATTCAAATCTCAAATCTCAGAACTCAAATCAAAATGCCAAAAATATAAAACCCGGTGTGTAATCAAATTTTTTGTGTGCTATTCTATTTGCGCTGCGTCGCGCTGTGACGCTTTCGCTTTCGCTGTGGGTCATTGTGACCCTGCGTTTTATAGCGGTCCCTGCAGGCGCTTTATTCTAATAACCCTCCAGTCAACAACAAGGGCCAGAAACACAAGTATATATGTATATCTATATTTGTACATATATATAAATACGAATATACAACAAGTTCAATTCGCATTTCAAAATGTTTATCGAGCTCTTCCCCGCTACCCAGCTCAGCTCAGAGCCAGCGTCGTCGTGTGCTTTGCCTTCATAAATTATACAAGCGCATTTTTGTGAACGACTTGCAAATAAATAAGCATTTACGCTTTTATTATTGTGCCGAAGTGTGTGCGGGTGTGCGTGTGTACGTGTGTGCCTCCTCTGCATCTGTGTGCGTGTGTGTGTAAGTCGCGTTTGTTCTGCAGAAATCGGTCCCATGCGGCGCAGAGTTAACCAAACGCAAACGCAAACGCAAACCCAACCGAAAGCAACAACAGCGTAAAAGCACCAAGCAGCTGGCAGTGCTCACAAGCAATATCATCTCCAGCACACAGTCATATTTTGGTTTTGATTTGTATACGATCTGTGAATATCAACATAAAAACAGAAAAACAGAAAAACTGAAAAAAACAAAAACACATTTAACTGTAAGGTAAGTTATATTACGCATACGCACATTGAACTTTAGCTTTAAGTTCAATTGTATAAAGCGACGAGTGCATTGACTCGAAATGCACATACGCACACACCCAGCCATAGGGGCACTCGTTTCTGTCACCTATTATAAGCGCTTGAGTTGCTGGCAACGTCATTCGACATTATGCAAATACATAAGCAGCAGCAGCAGCAGCAGCAGCAGAGGAAGCAGAGGCAGCACAAGAGGGAACATCCTGATGCTGTCGCGTATCCTTGGCCCCGCTCTCTTGATCAACTAACTGCATAATTGGAGTAGCTATATGTGTGCGTGTGTGTGAGTGTGTGCATGTGTGCCCCATTAGTGTTTGTGCTGGGTGTCTCTAACTGCCTCTAATGAATAAATAAGTGCCACTAATAGTTTTAGCACTTCCTGCTGCCGTGCAACATTCACGCAGAGACCGCAATGCGAGCTGCCTCATCAAATTGCAGTTGAGAGCAGATCTTGACAAACAATGCCAACAGCCGACAGCCACTCAGGGCAGACATGTTGACAATATTTAATTAAGAAGCAGCAAGAGTCAAGGTTGCAACAACAGCAGCAGCAGCAGCAGCAGCAACTATCATAATTATGTTAAATTTACCAACAGTTGGCTTTTACGCAAATTCATTAAATAATCAAAATTAGTTAACCAAGTTTTGTTTTTTCCTGCTTATTATGATGTGAACAAAATATTGGCTGCCCTAACAAAAATGGTTCCCAGGGTATTTAGCCAGCTGCTAACAAATTTTACTTGAATTATTATTATTTTTGTTTTTCTTTCTTTCTTTTTTTTTTTCATTTGCTGCCACAAAGTTCTGTGGGCCGTGGCAAACAAGTCAATTGGCCGTCGCGACGCTCGTCGTCAACGCAGTTGTCGTAATAATTTTATTTGCCATTCCCACACAAACAGTTGAGCAAAAAGTTTATGAATACACCCAAAGCATGTTTGGGGTCTCTTTTTACATTTATTTTGCATTTTTATAGTGCAACTTTGTCACATTTATCGCCGCTGGAACATTTCCTCTCACAACTATTTCGCTGGGCGGATGTGTCTGTCCCTCATCTGCAGATACCTTCGACCATCTCTGCGATAAGCATCGCAGACGTGCTGAGACGACAGCTATGCGATGACTTGCGCAACTCTAAAGAAATAGATAAAAGAAATAAATGTTATAAAAATACAAGCACTTGTGCTTGGGCATAACATTTTCCGCAGAATTCTCTCTGGCCAGCAGCAGCAGCAGCAGCAACTTCCTCATTTGCTTATCGAATGAGTTGAGGGGCTGTGGGGCAATGCTCTGTGCTTGATTTCACTCACGCAGACTCATCAACTTTTAATTAGTTGTAATTTGTAAATTCAACGTCAAGCACAAACCACGAACGCACCAAATCGAGTGGGGGGTGCGGGCTGGGGGCTGGGGGCTGGGAGAATTGAGGGCGAGGCAACCTCTTTGATGCTGCCGCGACTGCCGCGACCGCCGTTGCTGATGATGATGTTGCCGCTTTGTTGCCACACTGACAGATTGCTGATAAAGACGCCCCGACTCTGACTCCGACTTCCCCCGCAACCGCTGAGCAATCGTCAAGCATAACCGTCTAATCGGTTAAGCTGTCGCGGCTTTTGGCTTTCGGCTCTCGGCATTTGGGCTTCCGCATCCATCAAACAGCTGTCAACGGGGGCGGCCTAAAGGATTGCCCTCAGCTTGACAATTAAATTGCGTCAAACCGTTTGAGCTGTTTGTTTACACAGTGTCCCCCGATAAAGCACTATTTGATGGCAGTTGTAGACAGCCGACTGATACTGCCACGGAGTTCAAACGCATTTGGAAGTTATCAATCCAAAAAGTCCAAGTTCAGAGAATTAATTTGATTTACGGGAGTTTCAGCTATTCAATATGCTAGACATTTATTTATTATCATTTATACAATTGTCAATGCTCAAAGTATTTCAAATAAAATATTTGTCGAAAAGTTAATATATTAATTAAAGTCTAACGAATTTGAAATAGCGGACATAAATTGTCCGTTATGCGACTTTTGCTAGCTTCCACAACTTTGTCATATTTATGCAAAATAGTTTTAGCAAAATTTTAATATGAAATCAATTTATTCTTTTACAACTTTCATATTAAACTTTGTCATAGGGCTATTAAAATTTGTTGTTTTAAGTACTCGCATCCGTTTCCTTAATTAGCAACTTTGACTGGGCGAATATTGTAAGCATATTTTGTGCTAAAAAATAGAAACTTTACGATCTAATTTTATGGCTGTTGCAAATTCATAAAAATTGTTTAACTTTTTATTACCCAAAAGCTAAAACAACAACAACATCAAGAACAAAACACGTGTGACACAGAATCTGGCCTCTAAGCAACAGCAACAACAACAATAACAACAGCAGCAACTAACAACGAGCTAACAGCAAAACAACTTTAGCTACAAGCTCTATAAATCCACAGCCAGGGCACTTAATTAATTTCTGTAAAAAAGAGAGGGCAAAAACTTTAAGAACAAAGGACCAAAGTTGTTCTGGTCCTAGCCTAGTTGCACGTTAATTTCCAATTTGACGCAACAGCAGCAGCAGCAGCAGCAGCAGTCAACAACAACAAAAAAGCACTAATGTCATACATAGAAACAACAACAGGAACAACAAAAACGAGTGGAAAATCAGTGGCCGATGCAACAGTAAAACTAACTGCAAACTTGCAGCAGTAAAAAAAGAGAAAAAAAAAAAAATAGAAAAAAACGATAGCAGAGAGAACAACAGGCTAAGAAGAGGAAGCAGCAGCAATGCTTGCACCAGTTTCGCAGCAGTTGAAACAGTTACCTGGGCGCTAAACAAAAACACAAAAAACAACAACAACAACTGAAAGAAGAACAACTAAAAGACACTGCACACTAACCAAGTGAACCGAGAGATGCGAAGATGTCGAGTTCGGTAGAGATGCCATGAAGGCAGCCAGGCGGAGGCTGCTTTAGAAAGTAGCCAAAGCTGAAGCCAAAGTTACAGCTAAAATTGAAGCAGCAGCAGCTAAAAACCAAGTCCAAGCTGTAACTAATGCTGAAGACGAAGCCCAATTCGATGCTGTAGCTGAAGCTGAGACTGCGGCTGAGTCTGAGGCTGAGTCTGAATCTGTGGACAAAAACCCGTTGGCTCCATCAACAGCAGCGTTGCCTTTGCGTGATGCAATTGCCAGCAACGCGCCAAAAGATTGAAAGCAACGACAGCAGCCACGTAACTAGAACACTTGACGATGCTCAGTGTGTAAATGTGTTTGAATGTATGTGATGCAACAGCAGCAACTGCTGCTACAACAGCAACAACTGCTGCTGATGCGCTTTTACCTAGCCCCGCAACAATTTCCAATTAAAGCAGCTGCTGCTGCTGTTGCTGCTGCCGTTGCTGTTGCGACTTGCGCAATCATACGGCAACTTCTGGATGCATCATACCAGGCATTGGCAATGCCTTATGTAAGCGACTGCGACAGGAAGCCATCGGTAATGGCCTTAAAATACACACTTTATGCCCAGGCAGCGTCTCCAATTAGAGTTTAGTTAATTGCAGCGCGCCAAAGTTGCTCATTAGATTTCTTAGAGGGCCGGTTTGGGGTGTTGTGCTTGGCCCTCCCAGTCGGAAGCTAACTGTATCTACCCCTCCCATGACCCATGCCCATGCCCATGCCATCGCTAGGTGACTGCCCCAACGTCAACGGCCAAAACTAATTGATCATTAAGTCTATTTCCGCACCAAGTTGGCAATGGCAAAAGTTGAGCTTGTATTTTCAAAGTAAGTCATAAAGCGCCAGCGTTTTTATGACAACAACTAGAACAACAGGCATGTTGCACGCAACACTAAAAACACCAACAGCCACAACAACAACAACAACAACCATCGAAACGCGATGACGCTGCCTAAATGATGACGTTGCCTTGAACCGAACTGGGTGGGGCGAGTTGAGTTGCCCTCATAGGGGAACAGTCGAAATATCTAGTACATTTTGAAGTTTTATGGCTATAGAGCATACCCATTGTATAAGGGAATGGGTGTATACAACAACAACAACAACAACAACGACAGCAGCAGCAACAAAAGTCATAAAAGCAAAAGCGCTGCATGTTCCAATCTATGGAGAAACGAAAACAGAACTGGGTAAAATCGATTTGTATTTCTTTGTAATGCGGCCTGATGAAGATTCCAATGAAGTTTAAAGATATAGCAAGAAAGGAAAATATAAAGAGAAAGAGAAGTAGATGGAAAGAGAGAAAAAACTAAAACAAATGGCGCAACGAAATGAAACGTAACGTTGCAGTTGATCGGGGCAAAAGAAAGGTTGATGGATAATTCGAGTAGACAAAGTGAAAGGGAAGCTGCATGGCTGTTTATGAAGCTATTCAGAGTTAATCGTTGCCCATCTAGAAAATCATGAGTGAGAGCTCAGATAGAGAAAGAGAGAGCGAGAGAGAGGGAGAGAGAGAGAGAGAGATGGATCTAGTGGGACTGACTAGAACATACCTAGCAATCGCATGCATAGCTGTACTGTAGATAAATCTAAACACATATACGTATACATATGCATATATAACTTTACCTTTACCCCATTTCAATATGCCCACACCTGACCAATTCCAATGGTGGATAAGCCGTATGCAAATCAGCTGTGATTAAGCGCAGTGAAAGAACACAAGAAAAGACTGAATTAAGATGAAAGAACTGTAAAGAGCTCGAATGCATAAAGAACAAATCAAGAACTCAGATTAAAGAACAGTGAAAGAGCTTTAGAGACATAAAAAGAAGGAAACAAAGAAAAACCAATGATGAGAAGTCTCTTTTATTGATAGAAACAACTTTCGAAGCGCTGCTAATGCTGACCCACTGCCCACATGCAAATGATGTGCGCCTGCTGTGCCTCTTCTTGTATGTGTGTGCATGCGTGTGCGTGTGTGCTTCTAGGGGATTTGATAGACAGGAGCTGATG